CGACGACGACGACGACGACGACGAGAGAGAGAGAGAGAGAGAGAGAGAGAGAGAGGAAAGTTTTGGAGAGAGAGAGAGATAGAGAACTAGAGGTTTGAGCCTTCTCTCCCACCACACATGACAGTGACGTGTGAGGGCCGGAGGCTGGATGCTGCCTGGACATGGCAGCTCTGAGGGCCCTGTCCTTGGCGTCCAGCTCATCAAGACCCTCAGGCTTTTGAGAATTTGTTCTAGAAAGACCACAGCATGGGGCCAGTCAGAAGGTCCAGGGCACACATTCAGCATCCCGGACACTTCTTGTGGGAAAGCGAATCAAGGCCTTCAAACTCCCTTCCACCTGAAGCCTGCAATGTCAGCAGTTCACACGGGGACCAGACATGTGGGAAGGGCAATCAGCTCGTGGTCTGAGCCACACTCAGCCTCCACGTCTTTAGACCTGGAAGCAGTAACCTCTGACATCTGCCTGCACAGGCATGGGACGCGCAAGTCCCATCCGAAGAACAGGAGTGGTCCGCGTCCTGCCGTGGACACGGTAACACTTCTCCGATAAACATCTTCCCTATGCTAGCTCCACACGCGCATTTCTACCCCAGGCTATAATCAGAGCTCACTTTTAATCACCCACAGATGAGAACCCCCGCGCCACGAGTCAGGCAGAAGCCTTGTCATTCTACTCCACCGGGGCTCAACTATATTCTCAACGTGATAATGGTCTAAGAATTACTAAAGGATCCCCACCCCCGTGTTTAGAAAACGAAAGCTTGTACGGAGCCTAAAGAACCCCGTGTCACTCCATCGGGATGATGGTTGTGACAAGAAGGTCACTAGTCTTAATGTCCCCAAAGCACGGTTGCCCATGGTTCACCCATCTCCCACCTTCTTTCAGTCATCAGATCACCTGTATAAAACTGCCTGCACCCACCCCTCCACGCCCAGCCCCCTGCCCTCTTTATGCTCCCCCCAGGCTCCCCGACATACGCTACAAGCACGTCTTTATTTACTTACTGTTTTCTCCCCCTCAAGAAAGTAAGTTCCGTAAGAGTCAGTGTTACCAACCAACATTTTAAAAAAGACTCAAATTAAACATGGCCATCTTTTGTTCTTTCCTTTACTACCCAGTTAACGAGGTAGAAAAAACGTCGCCTCCACGGGGCACTGCCTGTCTCACCGGGACGAAGAGGGTACACCTGTTTTCTGATGAAGTAACGCTGGCGGGCATCTCGGGAGACCCTTGCGATCAGCTGCGATGTCTCCCCAAAGCCCCCTCTGCTGTGCAGCGGATCGATCAACACTGCAGAGACGGGAAGTCAGCTCAGTTGTCTTCACTGCATAGACTAAGAACGGAGGCTGAAGAAGGTAAACCAGTTGCCCAAAGTCTCAAGGTAACAAATGGCAAATCACAGATTCGCACCCAGTCTGCCGACTTCCCAGTCACGTTCTCTTCCTGCGTCAACGTTCCCACGATCCTCAGGTCCAGCAACTGGACCCTCTCACCGTGCCCACTGCTCAGATGGCTGGTGGGGCGGGCGGAGGCCTCCCTGGGGCTCAGAGAGGCCCCTTCCTTCACAAGAGCCCCGCTCACGGCCCCGTACCCCGTCCACTGCACACAAAAGCACAACTCCCCATCTGGCTGTTACACCTCTGGACTACTCGAGGGCACCCAATGAGGAAGAATAAAACAAACTGATGCTTTAAGTGAAGAATGTTGAAGGGGCCATGCTTTGCACCTAAAAATATCTTTTCATCACTGAGAGTCCCCCTTTATGAAATAAGGCACTTGACCTAATGATAGTAAAGACGGTCCATTTAGTTGGCTAAGAGGCTGAAATCCAGCACTCAGCCTCCCCAGTGAGAAGATGAATCATAATATCAACAAAAAAGCTCTGGTCTCCCCAAGGCCCGATGCTAGAGGTTGTGCTTTCTGGGGCTCAGAAAGAAAACCCATCGTCCTGCTGTGCCTCCTAACCTCTCCGTGGGGAAGGCTGGGTCGTCAGGGTGCCCTGGTGTGACAGGGCTGAGGACCATGGGTGCGGGAGTGTGACCGAGACGCGGAGGTCAGGAAAGGTCCACCAGCGATCGCACGCAGTCCTGAGCCCACACGCCCAAGCCCCAGCCTCAGCCCTGCCCACTCGTCTAGACCTCCTACCCCAGTGGGGACGCAGAGACCACCACGCCGCTCCAGTCTCTCTTTTCTGACCCTGGCTGAGGAGACCCCCAGTGCAGGCGAGCCTACTGGACGGAGAGAGAGAAACCCAAACCACGACAGAGAAGAGGATCGTGGCGATGCCGCAGACTCCTTTTTGCCCCTCCTCATCCCAGTACCTCACCCGTCCCCACCCTGGAGAGTCTTTAACTAGACAACACTGGAGGTTCTCTTAGATATAAAACCCACGAAACTTACTCAAAATCAGCTCTGACATGGCAGCGACGATCCCCCCAGGGGCAGAAACAGCTTTAGTTTAGAGCAGATTCAGAGAGAGAAGGAAAGCCCCGGGGCTCTGACCGCAGAGCCCGACCCTCTGGCTCCTGCGCAGGAGGCTTTGTTGGAGGCCCACCCGGTGGGGAACTGGGTGGAATCAGAGACACTGACGCAACCTTTCCTGCAGGGAAACAGAACCGAACTCAAAAATTATTCCCGAGGAAACACCAGCAACCAAGGCGGGGCGCGTTCCCACTGGGAACTCCCATGATAACGCAAGTCTAGGAAGCGTATTCGCTTCCAGCCCAGGGTGGCAGGGTGGCAGGCTGGCGGGACGCCTAGGACCAGCGCCCGATCCCCTGGGCGGGGGCCTTCCTTCACGGAGAACAGACGTGGAGCAGTCTCGGAGGTCTGCTCTGGGGAAGGACCAAGTTGTTGACGTGATAATGAGTCTAATGGGACTCCGTTCTCTCAAGGATGTAAAACTCTGGTCACATGAGAATCGTTAGCACAGAATCACAGCGCCAAACAGAACAGAGCCACGTCCAGCCTCTGCTCTCCCTTTCCACAGGTTCTCCTCCAGGGCCGTCCACCAGTGTCCTGACATTCCAGAGAGCAGGCCCACGCGCTCCGGGGCTGTGGGCGACCACCGGCCGCCTCGTACCCCGGCGCCCAGGTCTCCTCTCCGGGTCTGCTGACCCCCGTGCACAGATGATGGTCGGGGGGTCTGGGGAGATTCTTCTCTGGTTCCCCAGCCAACCTCGTGTCTGCAAGACTCTACTTCATCCGATCTCTCCCACTTACAAACTTCCCACCACTCCCCAGTGGAGCAGGTTAAATGCAAACCCCTCCAGCCCCATGTGCACACACCCTTCGTCCTCTCTCCTCGCCAGCACTCCTCACTGTCTACAGCTGAACTTACCTTGTTTACTCTCTGCTGCCCTTTTCAAAACACACTCTCCCCCAGGAAACTGATTTTCATTGGCTTTGCTCACTCTTGGGTCCAAAGGCCCTGGCATGGAGGAGGTGCCCCATAAAAATGGGTCAGCACGATCTGACCCTCTGAACTCACGCCTGGGGAAAAGCCAGGGTGACCCTGCTCTGCTAAGCTAGAAGCTTCCCAGGAGCAGGGAGAGTCTCACGTCCACGTCACAGGGGCATCGGCAACCTGGGCGCACGTGCTGTGGGTGGAAAGTAAATGTTGGCCAAGCGGACGTCTCCATCACTATCAAATTAGCAACTAGACGTGCTTTTCTCTGTAGTGAAAGAAAATCGCTTATTTTGGCCAAATTAAACGTATGTGAAAATTGCCCAAAGAACCATGTCCAGTCACCTGTGCTTTGGTGTGAGCTCATGGACAAACGTGCCAGCATTCTCCTCCCAGGAACCAGGACACTGGCTGCAGGACACTGGACTCACTCTGATCCTGTCACATCTCCAAGGCTCATTGCACCCAAATGACAGGGCTCATTCTCCATCCATAAAATCAACTGCACTTTTTCTGAATTATAATAATTTGGTTAGAGTCCTGGAGCCAGGAATAACCAAGCCTGGCTAATGGTAATGAACAATGACAGAACACTACAGAGAGGCAGCCGGCAGTATTTAGCAAGGACCCTCAAAATGTTCAAATCCTTTGATCAAGTCACCCCAATTCTGGGTATTCATCCATAAGAAAAAAAATTGAGGGCGTGAAAATGCTCTTCACAGCATTTCCCACAATATTAAAAAGGTTTTCAGTGCATAAATGTAACTTTTTTTAAAAAAGAAATATCAAACCAGTAAAAGCAGAATGGAAAAGTGGGGGCCACAGAAGGGTATATTCTGCAATTGTACACAATGACACAATGATTTTATGGTATAATTTCTTGGGTGGAAAGTGAACATAAAAACCATATGTTCACTGTGTGAATCTCTACAAACAAAGGCAGGACACACACTCACACAAGTAAAATCGTTGTTTGGCTAGAATGAGGAGCCGTTACGTTTCTTCCTGCAATGTTCCTTCATACGTGTAAGGTGCAAAAACTTCCGCAAAGCAAGTCAAAATAAATAACAAAATTAAAAAAAAAAGACTCGCAGAATGTATCCCAAACAGTTAATCTCCTTCATACAGTTTTAGAAATTAAGAAATAAAGGAGCAACAGTTTAATAAAAAAAAATGATCAAAGAACAAGAGACAGTTCACAAAGAAAGACCAGCTCTCCTCAGGTGGGACACACTCAAGAGACAAGAGAATTCCCCACACAAGATGCCACTCCTCACCTCTCCCCAGGCAGACACTCAAACGCTGGGCCAAAGACTCTGTCCACATGGCTCTCGGTCAATAATCGCTCTCCTGCCCGAAAGGCTGGAGTTCAAGATGACACAACACATGAAAAGGGTTTTTTATCAAAATCTACCAATATTTTACCTACATTTACCCGATGATCCAGAAACCCCACTTCTGGGGCATGTGATCGGTGTGTGAAGCTTGTCACTGCGGTCTTGTTTGAAATATCAAAAGATTAAAAACGATCCAAGTAGGGGACGGGTTAAATACACGAGGAAATTAACCACGGAGTGGAATACGAGGCTGCTGAAGAAAGGAGGAGAAATATTCCATGTGTTAAAGTGGAGAATCTGCGCAATGTAGTTAATTAAAAAAGCCCAGAAGAGAACGTGCATATTATACAGTAAATGTTGGGTAAACTTTGTGTACATTTATGCTTGTTTGTATTTGCACAAAGAACCACTGGATGAATACCCCAACCCTAATTACAATGGTTACCTAACGAGGCGGGCTGGGCCGCAGGCTGGGGAGACCGGCCAGGCCCAGAGGCAAACAGGACTTCTCCAGTGTGACCTTCAGACAAACTGACTGTGAACTATATGGATAATCCTGTCTAAAGATGACAGAGAGTTTAATAAATAAACTTAAATATCATAATAATAGTAATTCAGAATAAATAGAGGGTCTCTCTTCTAGCCTGAATTCAATCAAGGCATAGTGCCTACCTCAAGTTAAAGGATGCTTTTCAATAATGTATAAACTAAGAGAAAACTTCCAAATGATATTTTAAACGTATTTTTCTTCTCTGAGCTAGCTCAGAGTTCCAAAAATGTCAGCGTATATCTATTCTCCTACACGTGTCTTCCAAATTTAAAATCTGGCATTAATTTCATTGTCAAAGGTTCAACATCCTCCGAGCAGCTGCCTGTCAGAGCTCAGGTTTTGGACAAGTGCCTGTCAGCTCACGGAGTCATAAGACTTTCACAGTGTCAGCCTTTAGGGGAAGGTTTTATTTTTCCTACAAGGAGGAAAAAAAGCAACGTTAATTCAAATAAGGACTAAGAAATAATAATCACAACTAACGTTTACTGAGAACTTGCTAGGTGTACGAATTCAGGAGCCACCTCATCAGCCGACAGCTCCGAGAAGCAGGACCCGCCATCATCCCTCGTCTGCAGGAGAAGCCTGGGCACCGGGAGGAGAAGGGGTGGAGACAGTGCGGGTCTCTGCTGGCCAGGACCCGTCCTGTTCTCCTACCCACAAGGCTGTGTGCTATTTTCTGAAAAGAAATAAGGCTTCGGGGAGCACCGGCTGTCGCAAGGCAGCTATCATTCTCAGCAATGAAGGACTAGGCTTCAATCACCCTCCTCGTGTCTTAAGAACCCGCTGCTGCTCAATTACGAGACTCCCGCGGAACTGATGTGAGTGAGTTTTCACACCCATTTTACAGACTATGAACAAGACGGAACGGGTGAATGAGCAAGCCACAATCTACAATAAATAAATGAGCACTAAAAGCAAAAATAAACAAACGGGACCTAGTTAAACTTAAAAGCTTTTGCACAGCAAAGGAAACCATCAAAAACAAAAAGACAACCTATGGACTGGGAGAAAATATTTGCAAATGATGTGACTAACAAGGGCTTAAATTCCAGAACATACAAACAGCTCATACAACTCAACAACTCAATCGAAAAATGAGTGAGAAGATCTTAACAGACATTTCTCCAATGAAGACATACAGATGGCCGATAGGCACATGAAAAGATGCTCAATATCACTAATTATCAGAGAAATGCAAGTCAAAATTACAGTGAGGTATCACCTCACACCGGTCAGAATGGCCATCATTCAAAAGTCCACAAATGACAAATGCTGGAGAGGCTGTGGAGAAAAGGGAGCCCTCCTACACTGCTGGTGGGAATATTATTTGGCACAGCCACTGTAGAAAATGGTATGGAGATTCCTAAAAAACTAAAAATACAGTTAACATGATCCAGCAACCCTACTCCTAGGCACATACCCGGAGAAAACGCTAATTCAAAAAGATACACACACCCCAACGTTCATAGCAGCACTGTTTACAATAGCCAAGACATGGAAGTGACCTAAATGTCCATCAACAGATGACTGGATAAAGAAGATGTGGTATATTTATACAATGGAATACTACTTAGCCATAAAAAAGAATGAAATAATGCCATTTACAGCAACATGGATGGATCTAGAGATTATCATACTAAGTAAGTCAGACAGAGAAAGACAAATACCATATGCTATAACTTTTATGTGGAATCTAAAACAATGATTCAAATGAACTTACAAAACAGAAAGAGACTCACAGACATAGAAAACAAACTTCTGGTTACTGACAGCAAAATGGGGGAGAGGGATAAATTGGGAGTTTGGGATTAGCAGATACTAACTACTGTACATAAAATAGATAAACAACAAGGACCTACTGTAGAGCACAGGGAACTATATTCAATAGCTTGTAATAACATATAATATAAAAGAAATTGAAAAGGAGTATACATATATATATATATATATATATATAAAATATATATATGTATAATTGAACCACTATGCTGTACACCAGTAACTAACATAACATTGTAAATCAACCACACTTCAATAAAGAAAAAAATAAAGAAAAAATAAATGAGCACTGACCATGGTCTAGAATGCCATGGAGTCCAGAATTCTTACCCAGTTGTAACTTCTACATCCTTTTTCCCACGAGTGAATAATGTGCTATTTTCAAGCCCAGTAAAGCTGTAGACTAGAGGCCAGCAGATGTTACCCATTAAGGGACAGACAGTTCCGGTTTCAGGCATGTGGGCCTCAGGGAGTCCCTGCAGCAGAGCAGCCAGAGGCAGCTCCTAAACCCTGGGGCAGGTTGTGTGCCAGCGAAACCGAGGACCACATCCTGACCCCGTCAGTGCAGGTGCCCTGGTGGAAAGCGCCCCCACCACTCTGCCCTCCCTACTTCTCTAAACAGTATTAAGTATTGTAACAAAGGTTTTGTTGCGTTTTTTTCATTTCCACTCCAATGCCTGAGCCTGGTGTGAAGACATTTCGCGATCTGACCCTCAGCCAATCACCGCCCGCCTGGCCTCACGCAGGATGCGGACCCAGTCGGTGTGGAGAGAGAACCTCCCCTTCAGGCCACGTGCTCGAGTGCTTCCTTCCTGAAGAAGCCCCAGCCTCCCCGTGGTACAGCCTCTGCCAGCTCTGTTCCCAGCGCAGGCGCCCACTCCTCTCCTCTGCCTGGTGACTCCATGCCCCTCATGGTCCTGCTCAATGGCATCTCCCGGGACCACGGCAGCCAAGGCTTCAGGACTCTCCCGTGAATCTCCCCACGTTTCAGGCACCCCAACCACAACTTAGACTCAGACACAGAATCTTATCTCCACTCCAGGTGGATAGGATGCTCAGGACAAAGCCGCGCCCTCTTGCCTCATGCCCTTGCCCCTGACGTAAGCGTCTGCATGGCAGGCTGACGGCGATACAGTGGCATTGCCGCCCCAAGGTGCACGGGAGAGGCCGAGGGGGTGCAGCACATTAACCTGGCTCGTCTGTGGCTGAAAGCCTAACGGCAGTTCTGGAAGGAGACCCAAAGTCCCTCCACCCCACGAGCCTAAGACACCACAGGGACCCAGGGTACTAGACCGTGCCTTTACTGCGAAGTGGACCATCCTCAGGGCCAGAGGCTGCTGGGTTTGAATCCCAATCACGGGACTGCGGCAAATCAGTTCGACTTAACCACAGCTCAGTTACCATGGCACCATCTCACACTGTGACAGATGCTTAGTGTTTCACTGAATACTTTCACCAATGGGGAAGCGTGCACTCTGAGCCCCATTTTATAGATCAGAAAACTGAGGCACTGAAGTTCCAACATTCAATGTCAGAGCCTAGCTCCAAATCGCGGTGATCTGGCTCCGGAATCCCACCCTTCCAACCATAAACCCTGTGGCCCTCTGGGCATCACCGGCGAGGGTGTCTGCTGTTACTGGTAACTCGATATGAATCTTCTATCGCCACTGGCAGGGGATGCACACCTCTCGAGCCAAGGTGGGTTGGAGAACCGACCTCACCAACTCTTTCCTGCCTCACCATTTCAGCTTTGCCAGCCACAAGCATCGGGAAGAGGTTTTCCTCTGGGAGTGTGTGCTAGACACTCCCAGAGTGTGGCACCCCGACCCCAGCCTCAGTAGTGTGCACAGTGCCCCCACCGAGGGGCAGACACACCCTGGAGACACAGCTGGCTGTCTTGTCAACCAAGGTCACAGAAACATTGTAGTGAGCAACTGAAGTCTCCGGTTAGATGGCTCATGAGCTGGAGAGGCCAGGAAGTGGGGGTGGGGGGAAACCTAGAAAGGGGAAGAGTTACCAAGGAGTCTGATCCCACGTTCCCACCCCGAGAAAAAGCAATTAACCCACAGAAGAAACCACCTGGGGCTGCTTCCGCTCGGCCCCGCCCACTGGAAAATTCTTCCAAAAGGAAAAAATCAGCTACAAACATATGAACACTTTCAGTTTAAGAAGATGGGGCGGTTGAGAGGCGGGGAGTGGACGTCAGAAGTTATGTAACATCCCTCTGGAGGCTGGGGGAGAGTTGTCTCCCCAAGTTTGACAAAGGAACAAAGAAATGTGGCAGCACTTCAGACTGTCACCCACTGACGTGCCCACAAGCAAGCGCGTCCCAAACCCCAGCTTGGGATGAAGAGGAGGAGGAGGAGGTGGGGAGGGGGCGGAAGACCGTGTAAAATTAGCACCTCTCAGCTGCGCGCTGTTGCCCGGGCTTCCAGGATGGTGGGTGGGTTCAGGTGGCTCCAGCCTGATTTGCGGTTACTTGCGTAAGGGTGTGGGCCCTGGGGGCAGGAGCGACTCCTCCCCGGGGGGCCCTGGCACAAAGAAATGAGGTTCCTCCTCCAGGGCCCACCGCCCACCCGCAACCAGGCCGCAGTCTCCACTGTGCGCAAACCGGTCAGAAAAGACCGGAAAGAAACCTGTGTAAAGTTCAAAAGAAGCAAACCAGGAATCTAGAAATGTGTGTTCTGCACTGTCTTTACCTACAGCAGAGAAGCACTGAAGGCTTCATTCAAAGGCAGAGTTGCAGTTAGGACACGGGAAGTTTAATCCACACGGTTTAATCCTTGCCGTAAATACGGTCAGAGCGTGGGGAAGCCTTGGGAATCACAGGGTCCAAGCTCTCTTCTGCATACGTCACTCAGGGACAAGCGACTTCCACAGCCACAGAGTGGGGGGCAGAACCTAACTGGAAGACAGGAACCCCTAATCCCCAGGTCACTGGAGCTGCCCCTGCACCATCCTGAGGTCTGAGGGCTGTCTGCGTTTAGAATAACGTGTTCACACAGCTGAAATGAGGGGCAGAAGGCATGAAGCCTGCAAGAAAAGGGCCAAGGGAAATCCTCAGTGGCCCTGACACTGTATCTTGTTCTTAGCCAGACCTGCCTAAGAAAGCACTCTGTTTTTCCATCTTAACCATCACATCACAGGGTTAGCTCCATATGTTAATTTTGCAACATGCACCATCTTCCTGGCACTGACGCCGAACAAGATCGGACTCTTGTGTATCAGGTGCCAATCAGCCAGACCTGCCCCCCAGCCATCCCCACCCCTGAGCCGTTCCCACCCCACATCCCCGGCTCACAGCCCCAAAGGAATCAGGCTGACGGGAGAAACCAGACAGCCGGAGGAATATTCAGACTGGTTCACGATGCTTCACAGACTCTTGGAAATCGGGGAATTAAGAAAACACTGAACACGGCCCCGCCCTCCCCAGAGGCCCCGCGTGGCTTCCGGGCTACGGGGAACCTCAAACCAGCTGGAGCTTCTGCAGTGAGGACGGCGGAAAAGGCCCCTGGGAAAACCAGTGACACCGGCGATCAAGTCGAATGAAGTGCTAATTGGTGTTTCTGTTTTTCTACATTTGCTGGATATTTGACAAAAATATATTTTATTCTTTATATGAAGAAAAACAAGTAAGAAAAATGTGGCGAAAGAGAAAAACGTTTAGGAAAGTAAGACAGAGCTGAGAGCAATTTTACTGCACAAAATTCAAATCCTCAAGATTTTCGTTTGTTTGTCCTTGTGTTGATTTGTTTAACAAATGTTTTCCTGCACTAAATTTTGTGCAGACTGTGCTTCAGGGGCAATAAATTAAGCTGAAAATTTTGAACAGGGATAAGGTCTCGAGAGAAAGGCAGGGAGCCCTGCGCCGCTGGAGAAGTCATTGCGGGGTCCGGAAACTCAGCCCCTGAGGTTACGCAGAAAGGCTCCATCGCCTGACCCCCGGGCCTGGGCGTGGAGAACACACGGTAGGAACCGGATGGCCCTGGGTCACTCACCCGCAGGGCCTGCCCTGGAGAACTGGGCAGGTGACTCCACCAGTCCAGCCTCAGTTTCCCATCTATACAATGAGGATAAGAAGACTTGCATGAATTAACTAAGGCTGCCTTCACCAAGGACCACAGACTAGCAGCTTGAACAACAGTAATTTGCCCTCTCACACCAGAGGCCGGAAGTCCAAGGTCAGGGTGGCAGCAGGATTGGTTCCTTCTGCAGCCTCTCTCCTGGGCACATAGACGGCCATCCTCTCCCCTCTATCTCTCCACAACACCGTCCCTTTTCATGTGTCTCTGCAAATGTCCCGTTTTGATGAGGACATCCATAATACTGGGTTAGGGTCTACCGTGATGACCTCATGTCAACTTAATTCCCACTGTAAAGACCCCATCTCCAGACATGTGCAATTCTGAGGTCCTTCCTGGCGGTTAGAGCTGGAACACGTGAATCTGGGGGACAGGGTCCTGCTCCCAACAGTCCGTATCTCAGTGTTGCAGTGAGGACTAAATACGTTAACAGATGTGACTCTGCTGAGGGGCCTGCACTCAGTCCGTGCCCTGCGGGGAATGACTGTCACTGTCCTCATCACGCCCGGAGCCCCATCCCTGACGATGTGCTGTCACCAAGGCCGCATCCAAGCCCTGGACCAGAGGCAGGAGGCAGGAGGCCCGAGGCACACCCCCCCATCCGTCCAACAGGACGAGTCACGCTCTGCCAGCATGACACTTTCTCTGCAGGGGACAGGGCAGCGCTCAGGGAGACAGCCAGGCCACCATCACCCTTTCTGATGCTGGAGGAAGATGATTTGTGGAGACGTTGCCAACGGCCCCATCGAGTTCAGAGTGCCTCCGTAGTCCTGAAAAAGAATTAATTTGCTTTCCTGGACGCTGTGGCTAAATTGATTTCTCAAACACAAATTTACAAGTAAGTCTGGGCGCTATTTTGGATGGTTGGAGAAAACGACCATTTCTGTCGAGCGTGTTTGTTTCTTGCGATGTGAGCAGGCTGACCCTGGCGCGGGAGACGCGTCTCCACCGCCAGGAGCCCTGCTGGTCAACCTGGGGCCCCTCGTTCCCGCCATTGCCGCAGGACACACTTCAGCTCCTGGGCTGGGCTCGCTCTGCTTTCCCAGAATAAACCACTGGCTGGCTGGCTATGGGGGGGAACAGAACTGGGCTCAGCCGGGGCTGCCAACCAGGGCGTGCTGCGGCGTCAATTCTGACCTGGCTTCCGCCTTGTGCCCTAAATGCTCACCGTCCTCCTCCTGTGACCAAAATAAAGTAACAATGTACTTTGCCAACATATTTTCACTTGTGAGTCATCCTGGAGGGTGCTGTCATTCTGTGTTTTCTGATGCAAAGAAGGAAAGCCAGAAGGCGCTAGAATGTCCCTCTGCCAGCCTTGGTGGGAGTGGCCCAGAGCGGAAGGGACTGGACAAAAGGGCCACAGTCGGGGCTGGCAGGGACCGGCTGGCGGGGACCGGCCGGCTGCCGACGGTCAGGTCGGAGCATCTGCCCCTGCAGAGCCGTCCCGGTGCACACCAGCCTGTCTTCACAGGAAAGCTCACTTTGCTCCAAGTCAGAGCACAAAGCGGGTGGGGCAGCAGGGGCAGTGCAGGTGGGGCACACGGCCGAAAGCAGCTGGCAACAAACCCCCAGACTAGGAGTCCCTTCAAGAGGGAACCACTCCTCTGACTCCATAGATGTGAGCAACTCCTGGCTGGCAGTGACCCATTTCTGAAAAACATCGTGTTTTCCTTGAAATGCTCATAGGAGCTCTGCCAACACACGGATTCCAAATTCACACAGGTCAGTGCTTTGAGTTTAGAAGTGCATTCATGTCCTTTAATTCATCGGACGCTCTCAGCACACTCTTGGGTTTCTCCTCGTTCCGCACACAGGAAAACAGAGTCTATGGAAGCATCTCAACTTGGCTTCCCCAGAAGCAGAAGCAGTTTACCTGGGACGTGATCCCGGAGACAAATGTAGACGTGCACAGTGAGGCAGGCGAGGAAAGGCAGCCAGTTCAGGACTTGACCTCAAGCAGTCGCCGCTGTGGTGAGCGAGAGCTGAATCCCCAGGGGAGGCGGGGAGCCACAGTCACACCCGGTCGTCACCCCATCCTAGAAGCAGGCACTGGGCAGCTGTCTCCCTTCTGTCACCCATCGGCCGGGAGGTGGGGGCTCAAGTCCACACCTGCAGCCTCCAGGCAGGTCAGGCCGGGGGCTCCTCGGAGGAGGTTCTCAGGCAGGGAGGTGCAGGTGCCCGCGGCTGGGTGCTGGGCACTGCAGGGGGTGGGGGCAGGGACGGGCCACCACAGTCACAGCAGACCCGGTCTCCGTGCCCACACTGCAGCTCTTTGGGAAGATTTCCTGGGGCAGGTGACACACGAGCAGTATCCTTCTGTACATGAGGAATTACACGTTTCAGGTAACATTTTCAAAGCTTGATTTGGGGTAATTTGTCAGATAAATTAGACTCTAATTGGAGGCAGAACAACCTAAACGCACAGAGATGGGTTAGAACTGATTATAATACACGGATGAATAGATGGGAACCTGCATCCAGGGAGTGATGATGGGAAAATGACGAAGGAGCAAAGGATGGGTGGGACGTCAGGGAGGGAAGACGCCGCAGGAGTGCAGGGAAGGATATGGGGGGAGACAGAGAAGTTTCCCCCTTATGCCCCTCACAGGTCCTGAAGAAACCAGTGACACAGAAGTCAAGAAAGCAGGGGATTTGGGAACAAGAGTCCATGCAGGGCAGAAGCACGGACGCTCCCAGGATAGAACGGCTCCCAGGCGGACGCACCCGGGAGGTGGAACCCAGGTCTGGCAACAGGGAAGTGGGCAAATCACATACCGAACTGGGTACCCACAGCCCAGGGATCTCCTGACACACAGAACCTTGCCCAGCGGCCGTAACCGCCGACTTCCGACCTGTCCTGCTCACAGAACACCCTCCCCCTGACTGTTCCACTAGACAGACTTGGGGTTCTTCAGATCAGCTCAAAATAGCTTCCCGACCGCTCACCCTCACAGATCAATATTTACTGTCCTCCCCAAATGCAGCTACTATTAGCCTGTACCCCAAAATATTCTTTTTATAACAGGCTTTCTTGGGATATTTTGGTGATGGGGGATTCCTCCAGTGGCAATTTACCCTTCTCCCCAAAAAACAAACCTCAGAGCACAGTCTTTCCAGGCTCTGGGAAGACCAAGCCCGCCGCCGTGGGGTGGTTTGGATGCTGCACCCCAGCCGGAAAGCGAAGCAGACGCCCAACATTGAGAGGACAGCCCCGATGCAAAACTGTTCCGGAGCTTTTCTGGCCAGTTTGTCTCGAGTAGACCCAATTAAATCACCTCTTTTCGTGCTAACTCTGTGGGTTAAGACACGAGGCAAACTCATGCCTCACAAGACCGGGCACAACTGCTTGCAGAGTGAGGACGTCCCTGATGCTGAACAAAGACGGGCTTTGGTTTTGGGGGAGGTTCCTTTTTCCTTCTCTTTTCTTTCCCCCTACCATTTTTTTCTTTAAAGTAACACTACACTTTTAACTCTCTCAAAACTAAAATGCAAATCCTGTTTAAAAACTGGAAACATTAGTATCCACACACCCTGAACTCCCAATTTGTATACAAAACAGTTGAACAACAAGGTCCCACTGTATAGCACAGGGAACTCTACTCAATACTTCATAATGGCTTTTAATGAAAAAGAATCTGAAAAAGAACATATATACTTATTTATGGAGAACTGAGTCACGATGCTGTGCACCAAAAACTAACACAACATTTTAAACTGATTATACTTCAATCAAAAAAAAATGGAAACGTAATCAATGAAAACCCCAATAAACACATACACCATTGGTTTAAACAGAAACTTCCTTCTATGTTACACAATTACTTACAAAAAAAAAATGCTGTGCTCATTTCACTAGTTGCCTGGAAATGTTAGGGAAATGGCTTCATCTGTGAACCCCGAGGAGGGAATCCTACCACATTTTTCAAGAACTGGTGTCCCTGGCCTGTCAGCTCTGCACGTCTGTGCAGTCCCTGCACACGGAGCAGATATCCGAGCTCACATGTTACCTCCTTGTCCTAGACTTCGGGAGGTTCTCTCTCTATAAGACACTGGTCCCCAGAACTTTATAAAGGCCCTAACTGTACAGACCTTTCTATAACTGAGACAAAACTAACCTCTAGGGGGGCTGCCAGCACACAGCCCAGGGCCCGAAGCACTCTTGGCAGGTGCGGGAAGGGGCGGGGATGGCCAGCTGGGAGCCCAGCACGACCCCTCTGAGGACCTCAGCCTCCCCAGCAGAACCAGGAAACCTGCCATGCCGCCGCCTCAGACAGATCCTCCTTCACAGCCAAGGGCACATCCTCTCTTCCCACCGGCCTGTCCACAGCCCACTTGTCCGCACGGTTGACCTATCTCTTGCATCATCCTCACAACAGCCCAGCCAGCTAAGGCGAGGGAGACATTTCCCACCTGGGCGCCCCTGTCCGCATCCAGGTCCACACCAGCGCCCCACATAAACACGCACGCGGGCTGCAGGCCCCATTTTATGCAGAAATCCCTCTTTGCTACCTCATCTCCTTGCTGCCGCCTTGATCTCAAACCACAAGCTTTGTTTCGAAGGAGGAGGATTCGGGCTAGAAGCCAGTGCGCTCCCCTGCCCCTGTTTTTCGCTTGTCTTTTGAATCCCTGCTACTCCCACAATGGTCCTTCTTTAACCTCCCCGCTCAAAAGAGAAAACTGAGCCCCTTCATCAGTTCTTCTGCAGCTCTGCCTCCAGCTGAAGATGGGCCAGTCGGTGAGCGAGGAAGATCCTTGACTAGACGAACCATGTCCCAGCGCAGCTGCCAGTGATCCTCCTTCAGCGCAAAGCCGCGTTCCTGCGTGCAGACCGGGCGCCTCCACCGTCCTCTCAGGGGAGGATGCTCTGGACCAGGGACTGAATTACCTGCATCTCAGTGACCCCAGTTCCTCATCCAATGACTGCACATCAAGGCCACCTGAGCCAGAAGCTCTGAGTCTTATCCACAAATGTGTCATTAACCTGCTGGAAGATGTACTCATCAATTGGAAGGAAAGAAGGAGAGAAAGAAAGAGAGAGAAAGAGGGAGGGAGGAAGGGAGGGAGAGAAAAGGGGGTTATTGAAACCACGCGGTTTATCTGGTCCTTGTCTCTTGCAAAGTTCTCTCATTCTGTTACTTTCTTTTCAGATGTGGGGCTCAGGCAGATGACACCCAAGTGGACATCACATTTGACTCCACAGATTCACTCCGAGAAAGGGAATGAGGCAAGACAGGGGTTGGACCCAGGAGAACGAGGCACCGAGGGGCGGTGTGACAAGTGGAGGAGGGCGGAGGGGGCGCGGGACGGCCGCAGGACTCAGTCTGGGAAGTTGACGGAGCCAGCGCGGGGAGTTTACCTGATCCGAATGTGCTGCTGGTTAACTATGGGCGCCCTCAGCACTGAGTGGAAATTCTTTTCTCTCTAAAATGCACAGGCAGAGTTCAACTCAAAGACGCCTGGCTTGGCCAGTGAGGGTGGAAACACGCTTGCCCAGAAGTCAGGCTTGCAGAGTCAGGCATTTCACGTGTTGTTATCCGAGAACTGGTGATGCTGCCCTGATCCCGTCTCCCCACACCCCAGGGCCTCTCTGTGGGAGATGCAGTTCAGAAAAAAATGTCCCCCCAGCCCTCCAACACGGGAAGCTGGGTCTCACGAACCAATCTGCTACTCCCCGACTTGCAAGCCTGCGTGCAGGCCACATATAGCTCTTCCCGGCCCTCTGCTTCTCTGGGCTAAGCATGCTTCCCTAATCCATCATCTTCTAGAATCACCATGACGATCATGTGGTCTCCCCTCCATGGCCAACCCTGCCACAGTCAAAGACCCCAAGGGTCACACTGACCTCGGGACGGCACAAAGCATAGAGAGGGCAGAGGGCAGAGGGCAGTCTGGTCATGAACTGAGGACCTCCTGTGTGTGAGGGTCAGTGCTGGGCACCAGGTGGGACAGCGCTGGTCTCAGGAAGTTCACGAGGATGCAGGTGATAAAGCCAGACCAGTGCCCAAATAACCACACGAAGCAGCAGGGGAAGTGGGACGTCTTGCTGGTTGCCCAGTAACTCCCAGGCGCTTTGCCTGTTTACACTGATTCAGCCATCAGCACAGTCCAGCGCAGTCTTTGTTACCCTGACTTTGCACGTGAGGAAACCGATCGTCAGAAAGTTACAGAGCTCTCATAAAATCTTATGGTGCTTCGTAAACGACGGGGAGGTGCCCACACGCCAATCAGACCCCGGGGCTAATGCTGCCTCCACAGCAGCGCCCGCCGCCGGGACCTCCCGGAGGAGACACGGCATTTCTGGGTGAACTCATCGTAAAGCCTCACGGAAGAGGCGCTGTGTGTGCCGGGCTGTAGGGCTGGTAGGACGCTGCTGTGTGAGAGGAAAGAGAGGCCAGGAGGGCCAGGCAGTGATGGAAAGTCACAAACCACGTGCTGGAAATGGAAGCACAACTCTGCCGGAGCCCCCCTGCGGTCAGATCCCCCTCAGGCGAGTCCCCGTTTCTTAGTGTCTCACGTCTCTTGAAACAAAGTATCAATGATGCCTTTATCAGGCTCGGCTCATCTCTCCAAACGCACAGAAATCTCTGCAAAGCTACATCTACGTCAAAAACCTTTGGATCCCAGAAGCTCTGCTCACAGAGTGTAGTCGACACTCGATGCAAATCTTAGCTGGACAGACCGTGTTTTGAGACACAGAGTGTACTTTTACACGAACGCAGCCGCAAAAATAAAATGCCTCCACCCCTGAGAAAGTAACTTGTTTGTTCCTGGTCAGATCTGTGCTGCCCATTATCACTTTAACATCTGAGAACAACTAAAGAAATAAAACGTAATCTAAATACAAATCAAAAATACCTATGAAGCAGCCGACCTTTTTTGCAATGCAGTAAGAGGCAGTGAGAAACCCACGGACTGATTTAACATCACGCTTAAACAAGAGAAAAGCATGTCATTGTTTCTTTTCCAGTTGCAAAAGCACCGCTTGATGTTGCAAAGGAGAAAATACAAGAAAGGGCATAAAGAAGACAAACGATAAATCCACAAGCCAAGAGAGACATCAAAGGGGGCTGGGTTTATTTCAAACACTTAAGCCGGTTGTTTTAAAGCTTTCTCCAGTAACGCACACACACACCCCCCCAAAACGGGCGTCACACTGACCAGTGACGACACACAATCCCTTCACTGCCAAGTTCAGAATAATAGGCAGACAGAACTTTCTTCTGTTCTTCCTTTCACGCTGAAGGAAGAAAACAAACCACTTGTGAATGTGAACCCAGCAGAGTTCCCGACACCCCGCCTGCAACATACGCACCCGCCCAGGGGACGGGAGTAAGTGCACACTCAGCCGCGTGCCAGGGCCCCGAGGGTTTCGACAGACACGAGCACCAGCACCTGCTCCTTTTATAGATGAGGAAGCTGAGGGCCGGTGAGAGGAAATAAACACCAGGCAGCGGGCAAGGGGACGGCCCCTCTCATTGGCAGCGACATGGATGCACCTAGAGACGGTTATACTGAGTGACGCAAGTCAAGTGGAGAGACAGATACCATGTGATATCACTTACAGGTGAAATCTAAAAAAAAAATTGATACACATGAACTTATTTGCAAAACAGAAACAGACTCATAGAAAACACACTTATGTTTCCAAAAGGAAAAGAAAGGGAAGGGATAAATTAGGAGTTTGGGATTAGCAAATACAAACTACTATATAATAAAATAAATAAACAGAAAGGTCCTGCTGCAGAGCTCAGGGGACTGTATTCAATACCTTGTCATTCAAAAGTCCACAAATGACAAGTGCTGGAGAGGCTGTGGGGAAAAGAGAACCCTCCTACACTGCTGGTGGGAATGCAGTTTGGTGCAGCCACTGTGGAAAACCGTATGGAGGTTCCTCAAAAGACTAGGAAGAGACTCACCATATGACCCAGGAATCCCGTTCCTGGGCATATACCCAGAAGGAACCCTACTTCAAAATGACACCTGCATCCCAATGTTCATAGCAGCACTATTTACAATAGCCAAGACATGGAGACAGCCTCAATGTCCATCAACAGATGACTGGATAAAGAAGATGTGGTATATTTATACAATGGAATACTACTCAGCCATAAAAACCGACAACATAACACCATTCGCAGCAACACGGATGCTCCTGGAGAATGTCATTCTAAGTGAAGTAAGCCAGAAAGAGAAAGAAAAATACCATATGAGATTGCTTACATGTGGAAACCCCCCCCAAAAAAAGAACATAAATACAAAACAGAGACAGACTCATAGACATAGAATACAAACTTGTGGTTCCCAAGGGGGAGAAGGGTGGGAAGGGACAGACTGGGATTTCAAAATCTGTAGATACTGACAGGCATATGCAGAATAGATAAACGAGATTATACTGCGTAGCACAGGGAAATATATACAAGATCTTGTGGTGGCTCACAGCGAAAAAAAAGTGACAATGAATATATATGTAGGTTCATGTATAACTGAAAAATTGTGCTGTACACTGGAATTTGACACATTGTAAAATGACTAAACTCAATAAAAAAAGTTAAAAAAATACCTTATCACAACCTATAATGAAGAATATATATATATGTGTGTGTGTATAACTGAATCACTGAAACTAACACAACTTGTAAAGTCAACTCTACTTGTATCAGAAAAAGCGATGACCGCTCCTCTGGCTCCCACACCCTCCCCTGCCCTCCAACACGCCCGAGTCATGACTGCATCTCTCCATGTTCAAGACCAGGTCAAGTGTCTCCAGCCCCACAGCGCATGCCTGGCCGCTCTCACTGCCAAGAAGAAAGAGCCGCGCAGGGAGACCCTGCTGGACCTGCGCCCCCTGCGCTGCTCTGGAAAAACAGAGGCAGAGGCTCCCTTCCCAGTGTGCCATCCGAGCCTCAGAGTAAACTCCTGTCAGGCTAAGCTTCAAAACATATGAACACGGGCCAGTGTTGACCTGGAAACCTCAGAGGGCTTGGCTCTGCGGTGAAGACCTCCTTGCAAAGGAACAAACGTCTCCAACAGGGCTGTCCATCCTCCCAACCCGTCCCAGGGGAGAAGGAGGAAGATAGAAAATTAAAGGGCTTCAATGAGCAAGAGACCGAAACAGAACGCAGTGTACTTTTCTACCTCCCTTGCTCCCATGTCATCTTCCAAAGTCCCCAGTGTCACAGAGCTTCCTCTCAAACACGAGGCCTTCTGTACTTTCCTAAAGAAAAATCAACTCTTAGAGTCACAGGGCTGGGGAGGCCTTAGGAAGCAAAGGGTCACATAAACACACCACATCCTAAGTGCACGTGTTTTTAAGAAGTGGTCCACAGGGCTGGTCACCCCTCACGGTCCCAGGTGCTGACAAAGTTAGCCCTTTTCAGCACAG